AGCGTTTGATCTTTTTCGAAATAAAGTCAGTCGGTGGCATAAGAGTGGTGAAAAACCAATTCGCCGATTACCGAAATTACGCCAAAAAGTAATGGCATGGGGCGGTATTTCGCGAAAGGGAAAAACACCCTTATTACTATGCCAATCAATTATAATTAGTAAAACATATGAAAAATCTATCTTTTCAAAAATCTGTATTGGCATTATTTACTAAGTAAATGACAAAAATTTTTACATCGTTATGAAGCTAATTAACTGTAGTTTTTGAACAAAATGCCCATAAATTTGAGCAAGTTGTTGTAATGGAGTGTTATCTGCCAAAGTGTTAGTATATATGTTACACATATTAATATGTAATAGTAAATCATATGAAATGTATGTGTAACATATATCATGCCACTTCAGCAGATTACAGCTTCGTTATGATAATTTGCATGAATTTATCAGTATTTTGTTTGAAAACTACAGTTAATTAGCTTCATAATGATGTAAAAATTTTTGTTGTTTACTTAGTAAATAATGCCAATACAAATTTTTGAAAAGATAGATTTTTCATATGTTTTACTAATTGATCAGCATAGGTGGCCCTAAAATTTTGGCAGGGGAGTGTACATGGACTGTCTTTCTTTCTCTGCTTCAGCTGCATACCAACCTTACTGCGCCCAAGCTCAAATGAATAGACTTAACAAACATTAAACCAACATTATTACTTTGTACTAAATATGTCCTCCAATTAATTGGATGACCAATGGAGGAGCAGAAAGAGTGAATTTCCTTTTTACAAGTGTCCCATTCTTGAGGTGAGGATGGGTGTTGGTGTAAGTTTAGGATGTTTTGTATGACTTGGTTGATAGGGGGTTTGAGGAGGAGGGTTGTATTGACTTTCCAAGTTGGTTGTCTTTTGTGTTTGTATTTGGTGTAGGTGAGAATAACTGCTCTGTGATCTGATTCTGCACCCATGTGGAATGTGGAGCTATGATGAGTAGGGAGAATTAAGGAGGGGTGGATTAGAATATTACAGTGCTGGACAAAAGTAATGGCGGTCAGTTTTTGTAATGCTGTAAACGCAATTTGGTATATAAATACAAATAAA